AGATTTGCTAAGCTTGTGATGATTAGACTGAAATTTGATCTTGTGTTGACTATGTGGTATGTGGATTCGAAAGCTCTAACTAGTGTGGTGTTCCTGATGACTGACTGACTGTTTCTTGTTTTCAAACCTCGACCTTGTACTCTATCTGATGTTTGCTTGAGGGCAAGCAAAAGCTAAGTCTGGGGGAGTTGATATATCATGGTTTTTATGGTTTTTAACCATGATATAAGTTCTTTTTGATGAGTCTTTTTGGTCTTTTTAGAGTCCTAGAAGAGTCTTTGCAGGTTATAGCATGTCTGGAGCATAATTAGAGATTTTGGAACCTTTTGGAGCATTCTGAGTTGAAGCCACGAAGTACCTAGCTCGAAGAAGAAAGTATGCCATATGGTGACGCTCGTCACCAAGCTGGTGACGCTCGTCACCCACCAAGGAAGGGGTCGTGGCCTGTTTTTAAAAGATTGGGAAGAAATTACAGTTTTGGCCCAAAAATTCCAGTATTTGCAAAAAGACCCCAGATCGTGTTTTAGCTTGTATATTAGGTTTTTCAGCCATTCTTTTGGCATATATCTTGTATCTTATTATTTTTAAGAGCTTTAGGGAGAAATTTGTAGAAGAGCTTTTGGAGAGACAAATCAGACTCTTTCAGAGCAGATTTTGAACTCCTTTATTTCTACTTCTTATTTCTTTTATGCAATCTATTCTTTTTATGATGTTTTCTCAAATCACCATGTCTGAGTAGTTTGTTAGTTAAGTTAGGGCTTTTCAAAGGTTGAAGAAGAGTTTGTAGAATTGCTAAAAACTTCTAGGAAATTCATTGGTTCTTCATCTGTGCTTGCATTCATATCGATTTCTTAGACACATCATCTGGATTTCGAAATCCTAGGTTGTTTGATAGATGTGAGAGCATTATTAATCACCTGAACTAGTATTAGATGAGCAAAACGCCCTAGTACAAAGAGATTTGGCTTAGGAGTTTTGTGAACAATTGAACCTGATCATTACTGCATGTTTAGGTTGTTAGGGTTTGCAAAGAGATTTGAAACTCTGTGATTTAGACATAGATAACTTCTGCAATGAGAATTGATTAGTTATATCTTTGCGATTCATGTTCAAGACGGTTTTAATTCATTCCTGATTGCATGCATTCTACACTCTCAGATTCAACCTGCGAACTGTCCTGACTTAGCGCCTTTAGCCTTCTGAACTTTAAGAACAAGCATAAAAACGCCCTCTTGCATTTATTTTACTGTTTTGCATTACATTCATTATTTATCGCTTAGCTTAATCTGAATCTATAATCGCTAGTGTGGTTTACATACTCCCTTGGGATTCGATAACCCCTTGTACTACAACTGCTTTTGCTGTGCACTTGCAGTAGTTTTATTTGGGTAAAACCTGACCCTATCAAGTTTTTGGCGCCGTTGCCGGTGAGTAATAGCTGCCTATCGATTTTTAGTATTAGGATTTTGTCTAAGTTTTTATTTCTTTACTGATTTTCAGCTACTTTTCTTTGTTCCTGTTTCAGGTGTATGCCTAATCGCAGAACCAGAAGCAACAAAGAGAAGGAGCTTGTGACTTTGAGCATCGACGAGCTTGCTAGGTTGGAGAGAACTAACAGGAAAGCTAAGAAGCAATCTGCAATGGTCGCTCCACTGATCTTGGTTGAAGATGCAGAAGGTCACTTGGTTGACAGGGAAGGAAACAGGAGGAACGAAGAGGGGCAGAGAATTGATCAAGAGGGGAATGTCATTGTTGAACAGCAGGTTCAGCAAGTGGCTGAGAACGTGGGAGTCCCTGCTGCTGTCAATAACGCTGCTGGGCGTTTTGTTCAGAGGACTCTAGGTGATTACAATAGACCTGATCGGTTCTATGCCAACAGAGCTGCAATCCGACCTCCTGCCTTCCAGAGGAACGATTTTGAGGTTAAACCAGTCTACTATCAGCTGGTTGGTCAGCATCCCTTCCATGGTTTACCTCATGAGCATCCTATGGATCACATAGAGAGGTTTGAGGATTTAGCTTCCAGTGTCAAAGCTAATGGAGTCAGCAATGATTTCCTGTTCTGCAAGCTTTTTCCTTACTCTCTTGGAGGAGAAGCTGCATATTGGCTGAAGCAACTGGAACCTGCTTCACTAACTACTTGGGAGGACACCAAGAATGCCTTTCTGAACAATTTCTATGATGATGCCAGATCAGAAGACATGAGGACGAAAATTGCATCCTTTACACAAGGCCCTACTGAAGCTTTTAAGGCTTCTTGGATCAGGTTCAAGTCTTATCAAAGGGACTGCCCTCATCATGGTTTCAATCAAGTGCAACTGCTTGGTATCTTCTTCAGAGGCATTGACTGGAAATATCAGATGGCGCTGGATGCAGCAAGTGCAGGAAACTTCAACACCAACAGACCAGAAGAAGCTGTAAGATTGATTGAAAACTTGGCCTGCAGTAACAGCACTAAAAATGCAGATTTTCAGAGAAAGCAGCAGGCTGGTTTGAATGATGGAAACCAAATAGCTGAAGTTAAGGCTAAGTTAGACAGCATGCACAGCCTTCTGGTGGGAAAGAAAGTTCAGTTTGCTGCAGAAGTGGAGAGTTTCGAAAATCCTGAAGAATTTGAGCAGAAAGATGTTAATTTCATCAATGGAGGGGGTTTTCAGAGCCAAAGGTTTGGAAATCAGCAATGGATCAGAGGCTACAACAGCAATAATCAGCAGAGTACCTTTACAGGAGGACAGAGCACGCCTGGTTACACTCCTAAGACCTTGTTCCAGAAGACTGAAGTTGAGAAACCTTACCAAAACAGCAGGAATTATGGTTCTTCTTCCTACCAAACTGCACCTCCACAAGACAATAAAATGGAAGCTATGCTGGAGCAGGTACTTGAAGGACAGCAGAAGATGACAGTGAACTTCAATGGCAAGCTAGATTCGCTGTATCAAGACCTGAATGGAAAAATTGAGAGTCTGAACTCTCACATGAAGAAGCTTGATGTGCAGGTTGCTCAAACTGCAGGAGCTGTTCAAAGGCAAGAGGGATTCCTTCCTGGAAGGACTGATATCAATCCCAAGCATCAGGTTAATGCCATCACAATCAGGAATGAAAAGGAGCTTAAAACAGTGCAGAAAAGGAGGTTGAGTGCAGAACAGATCGTGCAACTCATGGAGTCTGAAGATGAAATTTTTTCTGTCTCAGAGGAGGAGTGACGCTCGTCACCAACATAGAAGAGAATCGGGGGTTGTCACAGGTGAGTGACGAGCGTCACCCCCCCTGGTGACGGTCGTCACCCACCCCAGAACGAAGCTGCTTCGCCTGTAACTGCAAATTATGACCAGGAACGTGTCTATAAACCCAAAACACCATTCCCCAAGCATCCTAGGAAGTCTAAACAGGAGATAGAAGAAGCCAGATGTAAAGCTATGATAGACAAGCTGATGCTTGAGATCCCTCTTGTTGATGCAATCAAGCTTTCACCAGCTCTAAGAAGGTATGTAAAGAGAATGGTTGTGAATGGTGTAAGTCCTGAGGAAGGAGCATTGCTTACCAGAGACATCAGTGCAATTCTCTTAGGCACAGTTCCAAAGAAGAAGAAGAAGGTGATTGTTTCTGAACAAGTCAATACCATCACTCAAAGCAGAGTTTCAAAGAAGCTATCTGATCCAGGGACCTTTGTGCTTGATTGCTCAATATCTGCAGGACGTTTTCCACACTCTCTATGTGATCTAGGGTCAAGTATTAACTTGATGCCTTTCTCTGTTGCTGCTAGACTTGGAATGACTGATTTCAAGCCAGCTGGGATCTCTCTCATCCTAGCAGATCGATCCATAAGGACCCAGAAGGCATGTTAGAGAATGTTCATGTTAACATTGAAGGCTGCATAATTCTTACAGATTTTGTGGTTCTGAAATATGCTGAAGAACCTAAAGACCCTCTTATTCTGGGAAGACCATTCTTGGCTACTGCTGGAGCCATCATTGATGTTAGAAAGGGGAACATTGAGCTTGATCTTGGTGATGTTGTCATGAACTTTGACATGGATAAGTTAAGAGGTAGTTCTACCATTGATGGTCAGACCTTTTCTGTAAGAACTTCTAGAGATAAAGAGACTGTCATGGAGCATTCAGAAGACACTATTGCTGAGTGTGTCAATGAATCAAATATAAGTGGGCAAGTGAGCAAGATGGCTGTTGAAGAGCCAATATCTGAAACTTCTGCAGAAGCTGTTGGGTTTGAGGATTGCAGTGAGGATCATATCTTCATGACTGGGCTTGAAAAAGAGGTTCTAATGAATGCCAAGTTGCTGGAGGAAGACGTGTATGTGATGGAAGCAACACTTGCAGAGCTGAATTGCAGGAAAACTGCAGAAACGCAAACTGTAGAGTCAGTGACGAGCGTCACTGACCTGGTGACGCTCGTCACCAACCTGAACACAAAGCAGCAACGTGATTTTACAGCTACAAGTCCATCATATGTTGCCAAACCGAAAATTCACCATTCCACAACCCAGAAACCTGCAACTAAGCATAGGTATGCACTTCCTGGAACCAGTTCCAAACCTCCTAATCTCATCAATAAGAATTTAAAAGGTGAAAAAGCTGCTTCACACTTATGCAAGCAACGAGATTTTCGTAGAATGCTTGGTGTTTCTTTTGATGATTCTGCAGGAAAACGAAATGTCCCACCCACACTCACGGCCCACTCTGCTGATGTTCCTCACTTCCTTGGAAGTGTTCATACATCTACTGCTTACAAACCACCATGGATGAGGAGACATTCTTCTCCAAGGCATTCAATGTCACCTTCTGTTCCACCAGATGTCTGAGCAGCATTCAAAGTCGAGCTAATAACTTTAAACAAGCGCTTAGTGGGAGGCAACCCACTAGTAAGAGAATGTTGCTTATGTGTTAGAGGATGTTGGAGGATGTTGCTTATGTGTTGTTCATGTTGACTAAACAAAACTAAAGTTGATAATACGATTAATTATTCAAATATAATCAAACTATTTAATAAAGATCTAAATAATACCTTTGAGACCACACGGCTAATGTATCGTCGCCATGGCTCCGGTCGGCGTACAAACCGCCTGCCCAAACCTCCGACCTATTATATGGCGTGATCCACACGTTATAGTTGGTGAATGCAGCCCGAATCTGTGGGAAATCATCTTGGGGCAAAAGTGGGCCTGTAGCTGGCCCAGAAAGTAAACGGTATCCAACTTCATTGCCATGCTTAGTTTTCCGGTTAGGATTAACCACCACCAGCTCCTCCGCCTTCAATCCTAATTTCACCCGAGCCTCCGCCTCGGTTTTGACCGTCTTTGGCCTCGTCGTCCAATAGCTTTTTCTCGGCGTGTTAACAGATTTCGCGGTTCTTGTGGTCACGAGTTCGTTTCGGACAAAGGAATTAGTTGTGCCGTCGATGTCAAGATCGAGACGGAACGTTACGAAGTGGTCGTGGTTGACTCCGACGGTATTGTCGGCAACAATTGTCCCGTGGATGTCCTCTTCTCCGATCTCTGATGTGTGAATATATTCCACCGGTTTAACTTCTAGAACACCGGTTAAGCCAACCTATGCCATATCAAATATGATGTTTCACACTGATCAGTATTTTTATCACACTGGAAATAAAACAAAGAAAAAAACTCGAATAAGCGAAATTTTGTTAAATAAAAAATGGTCAACATGTCACGAATCAAAGTCGAGAATCCGGATCTGAACGTTGTGGTTCAATCATGATGTTATATTTTGTCATGTTCCTTTTTAAAAAAAAATCTTATCACGTGGTTCATGTTGGTATTTAAATTATGTTGATAAAATGAAAGTAGGTATAGAGGTAAAAAAAGACAATTTTACCCCCATTTTGATGGAACCACTAGGTTTGAACTCATAGTCAACAATGTAGTCGTAGTTCCCAACGGTCGTCACGATCCGGGCCACTAGACTTACGTCCGGTCTAACCTCAGTTATCTGCATCATCATACATATGTATACACGAATCGTGTCAAATCATATAAAATAATTTATGATTATATAACAAGGCACATTTCTAAAATCTGATATCTGTTATTACTTCTAAATTTGGGATTTCAGCTTCCGTATGTCGCCACATGATATCTTTGGCATATTTTTCAAATATAATTTTTTTGTACAGTAAAAAAAATTCTGGATCGACTGCCTCTCAACTCGATCACTCACTCGATTTAGATGGGATCGAGTAGTGGATCTGGTGTCTGAGTCGTTCTTTTTTCTGGATTGACCAGTATCATCGATCTTCTTGTCGATTGCTGACTTGGATCGAGTTATCTTCTTGATTGCCTGATTGATTTCTAGGCATCCGCCTTCATCTTCTAGCACAACTTTCTTGGAGTCAATGAGATTAACGTACTCATGAGCCCTCTGATCCATGAAACCGTACTCTCATGGCTCCTTAGTCAATGCCAGCTTCAAATGATCCTCTTGTGCAAGCTCCTCTAGCAGTTCATCCGCCAAAGAATCTAACGTCTCTATGTAGAAAGCTTTCCCTTCTATGATGGGCTTCTTCAGGACCTCGTTGATATCAAAATCCAGCCTTATATCCTTGCCCAAGTGTAGAGCTATCTTCCTGTTCTTGACATCGATGATTGCTCTGGCGGTTGCAAGGAATGGCCTTTCTAGAATGAGTGGATCCTTAGGTTCTTCATCCATTTCAAGCACAACGAAGTCTGTAGGCACGTTTACACCACTGACCCTCACTGGTAAGTCCTCAAGCAAACCCACGGGTAACCTCACGCTTCTGTCAGCTAGCACCAAGGAGATTCTATAATCTTTAAACCGGATAAAACCAAGCTTCTTTGCTATGGAATGAGGCATCAGATTTATACTAGCACAAAGATCGCATAAACAGCTCTGAAATGTCAAAGGACCGAGAGCACATGGTATAGTGAAGCTTCCTGGATCTCCCAACTTCTTGGGAACTATCTCCTTGTGCATAATTGCGCTACACTCCTCACTAAGTACTAGCACTTCCTTGCTTTCCTTATTTTTCTTTGCAAGCGTGTCTTTGAAAATTTTTGCACATTTAGGCATCATGGCAAGGCAATCTACGAGAGGTAGCTTGATCTCTACGTCCCTTAGATGCTTCTCAAACAAGAGCCTATGCTTCTCTATAAGTTGTTTCTTGAAACGACCAGGAATAGGAAGCTTAGGAACATAAGGCGGAGGTATGTACTCATCCTTCTCCTCGGTTGCTTTCTCCACTTGCTTCTTTACAGCTGCTTCTTTACCCTTTGTTGGCCTCTCTATCCACACGTTGTGGAAGTTGATCTCATCGTCAGCCGACGGTTTATCCTCCCCCTCTTGAACCACAATGTCCTCATTGTCTTTAGGTGCAACCCTCGGTGGAAGCTCTTTCCCACTTCTTAGTGTGATAGCATTGGCGTATTCCTTGGGATTTTGCTCACGCTTGCCCGGTAGACTGGTTTGACCACTTGTAGTTGCCTTTCCTTTCTCTAACTGCTTGATCTTGTTGTTTAGAGTTGTGATCTGAGTAGAGACATCAGTGAGAGAGGAGTCTAAGCGGTTGTTCATCTCAGCGAGCTTCTGATTTGTTGAAGCTTGCCCTTGAAGTAACTGATGAAACATGGCTTGTACAGGATCAACTTGCTGCGGTTGCATTTGTTGTTGAGGAACGAAGCCTGGAGGATGCATAGAAGTATAAGGTTTGTTTCCTTGCTGCTGTTGCTGTCCTTGAAATTTACCTTGGCGCTGACCATGAAAACCACTACTCGGCTGAAAACCTTTGTTGTAGGGCACAAATGGCTTTGCTTGCTGAGAAGGGTACACTTGATCTTTAGGGTTCTCCACATTGGTGTTTCTATAGGAGAGATTGTTGTTCTTCTGATAGCCTTGTGAATACCCTTGAGGTTTGTAGTTGTTCTGACTGGCCACCCAATTGGCTTCTTCTTGACTCAACGAAAGCTCCTCTAAGGTCTCATCCGCTTCACCAACGAAGTGAACATGCTTCTGGTTAGCCAGCACCAGTTTGTCAATCTTCTCATGCAAGGACTTAAGCTCTTTCTTGTGAGACTCTAGCTCAGAACATCTCGGTGCACGGTCGTAGTCTTCAGCGTAGCTGCCGTCACTCAATGCTAAGTACTCAATCAGCTCCATACCATCTTCCACTTCTTGACCAAGGAAATTTCCCTTACTAGCCGTGTCAAGTAGCAAGCATATCTTTGGTGAAGCTCCGCGGTATATTCTGCTTAGGAGAGTCTCTTCGCTGAAGCCGTGGTGAGGACACTGAATGGTGTAGTCCTTGAACCGCTCCATGGCTTCATTGAACGTCTCATTGTTCCTTTGAGTGAAGCCGCTGATCTCACTTCTCAACCTTGCTGTTCTGGTGCTAGAGAAGAACTTTGAGAGAAACGCCTTCTTACACTCAGCCCAAGAGGTAATGGTGCCTTGTTGAAGGGTCTTCTACCAATGTCTATCCTTGTCTCCAAGAGAAAATGGAAAGAGACGCAGCTTGAAAGCATCTTCGGATATGCCATTAATCTTGATCATCCCACACACTTGCTCAAAGTTGTCAAGATGCTCCAAGGGATCTTCCATTGCTAACCCATGGAACTTGTTGTTTTGCACCATTGAGATGAATCCTGGCTTAATCTCGAAGTTGTTGTTCTGTACAGGAGGATGAGTGATCCCAAACCTATTATGATGAGTGTTGGGAGCATCTCCCGCTCCAATGATCCGTGGGGGTCTAGCCGTGTGGTGGGGGTTTCCATTACCCCTTCCCACTGCCCCGTGAGCTGGAGGAGGTCCCTCCGGATGTTCATGCTCAGCCATCACTTCAAAATCCACTGAACCTTGCTGAACAATGTCCTCAAAGGCTCTAGCTTGGTCTCTAACTCTTCTTGATCTTGTATGTCCGAGTTGATGAATGTTGTCCAAGGGTTGTAGCAAATTGTTGTCTCCCCTTGAACGTAGATTCATGTACCTGAAAGACACAAGTGTGAAGGTAGAGAAATCAGTAACCAACGTTAAATAAAGGCCTAGTCTTTACCAAACCCCAAATCTTAATGCTTTCTATCCCCTAAGATGGCAACGACGCCATTTGATAAGTATTGTTTTCTTGGTGCAATGATGTGTCAAGATGCAACAGAGAGGTTATCAAAACTCTAATGCACACAGAGATGTAGTATAGTGAGCAAGAGAGGAATCAATCCACACCTAGGGGTAGCAAGATCACTAAGAATGCAAAAGAATGAGCAAATCTATGCAGAATATGAAAATGCTTGGTAAAATCCCTAAAAACTAAATGCAAGTGTCAAATGCAAGGAAAAACAATTTTAAAATCCATGGAAGAGGGTTAACTACCACGAGAAACAAGCAGAATAATTAAAATGCAAAGCTACGAATTATTAAAAATCGACTAGTGGATCGACCACTAGATCGAGCAACAACGATCGATCTCGTCGAAACAACCTAGAATGATGAAATGATGCAAGATGCGATTAACAAGAACACAACTTTATGATGATGGAATGATATTAAACGACTTCAGATACTAAGAAAGAGGGTCTAGGGTTGAGGGTCACGTTCGTGGGTTTCGAAGGTCAAAGCTTGGTTTGAAAACGTTAGATCTACACTTTCTAAGAGGTTCTCTAGGCCTTGAAAATGAAACAAGATCCATCCATGGCTTGTGGTATGGATCACTCCTTCATTCTCTTCTCCAAACCCATGGCTTTTGGTAGAAAAAGAGATTGAAGGGCATAAAACACAGATTTCAAACACACGGCCTAACTAATCCCCTAAACAGCTATGGCGTGTGGGAAAGGAAGGATTAGCCTCTAGGATTCGATTTTCCAGGACATTTGGATCCTGTCAAGGTAAGACATCCCTCGGATCATAGAGATCTTGGCCTGAGAGTCTCTAAGCCTTAAGCACTCGAAATCCTAGAAGAGAAGGCGATGAAGAACAAGAAAATACAAAGCTTTAACCTTTTCAACCCTTTCGAATCGCCCCAACCCCAAAACCCAATAAGACTACTCGCGATTCATAAAGAAAACCGATGAAAGCATAAAAGATGATCTATTAAGCATGATTAACGAAGATTAAAGCAAGATGTTCAATATTCAGAAGTTAAAATGCAAGAAAAGCTTCGAAAGTCCATAATGGCGGATTCGCCTAAAAACAAGAGAGAGAAAAAAGGTAGAATACAGAATGGGGATAATGAAAGTATTCGTTGCCTTTTGCCAAAACTGGCCAAACCGCAAATGGTCCCCCCTTCGCTACGGTCCAAAACCAGCTGGACGGATAAGGTTGGTCTGGGATCGAGCATGAAGCTCGATCTGGCACTCGATCTCGTCTTGGATCGGTTGGCTCTTAGTCGATCTCTGAGTTGATTCTGTGCTGCTCGGGGGGGGGGGGGGGGGGGGGGGGGGGGGGGGGGGGGGGGGGGGGGGGGGGGGGGGGGGGGAGGGTGGGTTGCTGACCTCGTTTCCCTTGATTTCCACCATGCCGTTTGTCGTGAGGAACCGCAAGGATTGGTCGTACGTGGATGGGGTAGCAACCATCGCGTTGATCCAGGGTGTTCCCATGATTGCAATCAACTTAGCTAAGGCTAATCAGGCATTAAACACAGCAAGAAGATAAATGCAAACTCTTATTAAAATCAAGCAAAGATTCAAACTACAAGATCAAAACAAAAACAAAAGAGGAAAAAACTGTTGAATAAAAGCTTGATCCCAAAAATTAGGCATTTTCAGTATTTATACAAGTTTAAGCGGAGTGGGAAAATTGTAAATAAAGGGAAGTTCGGACTGGTTCTCATCGGTCACAAGTGACCGATACAGATGACCGATGGAGCATTCGCTTGATTCTCATCGGTCACTCCTTGACCGATACAGATGACTGATACGCTTATTCGAACACTCGACTAGATCCCATCGGTCTGTCTTGACCGATGCAGATGACCGATACAAATGTCCTGGCTCTTCCCATCGGTCACAAGTGACCGATACGGATGACCGATGGGATTCTTCAACTCATCTGCTGCATTATATCGATCAACACAGACCGATGGGGCTCGTGCTATGACCGATGGAACACCAGAAATCGCCTTCCTTAACT